GGTGTGTCATCTCTGTGCTGCTTGATTTGCTCAACCAAAGCTCAGCGAGCTATCGTACCTTCTCATCTTGTGGTATGAGAGTTCTTAAGGCCTGTTGGTATGGTTATTGAGATGTAATACCATTACAGTTACTGACCAAATGGTCTTTATTAACTTCCAGGGGTTAAAGTGCAGGGATTAATTTTGCAATTCTTAAAGTGCAGAAGGGACCAAACTTCATGGAGCATAAAGTAGGCAGAAATAAAGAATGTAGCACTTGAATGTGCTGTAGTATGTTCCAAATGCTTATACAAACCCTGTGGGTGAAAACCATATCTGTGGTACACTGTATAAATAAAAATATCACTCTGTAAATAACATAATATGATGGAACTCGAGTAATTTTCAGAGTCTACACTTCTAATTATTTGGTGAATGCAACAACATTAGCACCTGTTTTCTGAGACTGAAAAAGTTTGCTCACTTGCTTGTTCTTTATTCTGTAGTAGATGTCAAAGGCGATAGATCAGCATAATGAAATACAATTCATTTACCTAAACTAAGATGTTCCCACGAAAAATGTCTATATTCTTGGATACTTGCATAACTATGAACTGAACCTGTATCGGTGTTTCAGAGTATGTTTGCCAGGTGATGTGGTGTCCCCGCTGTACCCAAAGTGCTGAAAAGTACAATCTGATGTATATTAAAAATAAGACAGTTTAATACAGTTGCTTTAGAAAGGTATAATAATGATACTGTAATTGAAAAGGGCATGAGGTGAAGTTTGTATAGCCTGCTTTTCTGTTTCCCTGAAGCACTAAAAATTTCACCAGGACTCCAACAGGCAATGTTTAAAGTGTGGTTTTCATTTCAGCTTTGGACTTCAAGCTTTTTAAGATTTTTCTTAGTGATTGTAAAAACTAAAACGAACAAAAACCCTAATAAAAAAAAAAAAAAATTGAACCCTTACACCAAGAGCCAGGGTCCTCTAGAAATACTATGACAATGTGACATTTAAGGTGAACATCAGGGGAGCAAAAAGTATTGGGGGTGTGTGCAAGGTATTTTTTATAGTTAACAGATGAATTAATGTATTTCCATTATCCATCAGTTTATTTTTTAACACAGTAAACACAAAGCATCATGTGCTGTAAAGTGATATAAATTCCAGACAGTATCTAGTAATGGGAAGTAGTTAGCAAATTACTTCTAGTAGAGAAATGAAAAAGGAAAACTAGATTGGGCATACATCTCTGACCTTCTTCCTTTCCCCTTCCCTCTGTCAAACTCAGGAAAATATTCTTTATTGTTTTTATAAAGTCCTATTAAGTAGTAACTTGTTAGTAAAAAATTATTACTGTGTTCAAAAATCATGACGAGTGCTCAGTGGAAAGCTATTTTTATGGAAGTATTGCTTCTTAAAAACGTTACACGTGTGCAGCGAGAAAGATTTAAATATATCCTAAGTGCAGTAATACATCTGAAAATAGTGCTTAGGTGACAGGTACGAATGACACGAAGATAACTTGCAGATTTTGAGAAGTGCTATTGCAGGAGACATTGGGGGGCTCTAACCTTTGGAGTAAGAACTTACAACTGGATGCACAGAGGGAGAGATGAACAATAGTTCAGTTTGAGTAGAAGGAGATAGGTCAAGTAGAAAACAGGCTTGTCTTCATTATGGAGCTGGTACACGGTTGCAGCTGAGATTAACCTAGAAATCAGGCTGAATGGAAAAAGAGGAGGAGATCAAAAACGTACATCGTATTTCAGCTTCCTCCAAACCTAAACCCCTGGCTCGTGTTGAGGCAGCTCCTCTGAAGGATGTGCTGGAGAGGGAGGAGAATTGGAAGCAAGAATATGGTAACCAAGAATGGGAGAAGATACCAAAAAAGGAGCATGGTTGATTAATGTCCACAGTATTGATGGAGGATGCTGGAGCACTGTTTTTAAGCTTCAGCTATTAGTAGGTTGGTTGAAACTTTGGTAAGGTGTCCTCTGTGGTTGGTGTCTGAGCTGCGTGAATGGGGTCTAAAACAGCTGGAGAGAGGACACCTCGTTTGTTGTCTCAGAGATGAAAGAGAAAGGTATGGGCAGTTGAATCAAGAGTGCATTTTTGCTACAGATCAGCAGTCTGGTTTTGATTAGCAAGCTGGAGAGGAGGACAAGGGAGTCAATGAGAACAGGTACATAACAAATTCAGGTGAAATGGGGTCACAGTTAAAAAAAAAAAAATAGGATTAGACTAAAAGAGCAGAGGTTTGAGGATTTTTCTTAGTGTAGATGTAGACTACTGGAGGCATCGGGTGGTAATAGAGGAACAAGCCCAACAGGCAAAGGAGCAAATAATTTCAGAAAACATGGAGACCAAAATGGAGATAGATATATATATTAATTAGTAGATCCCCTACTTACTATTAGTTTATTTATTAGTCACATGAAATTGTAGTCTTTTGAATATAAAGATTGCATATGCTACAAATACTAAATTTTCCAAGTCTGTAGGAGAGAAGTTAAAAGCTAAATGATGAGTCTGAAGAATAATTAACTTTCTGTATTATTCAAGAAATGAACAGAATAGCCTTTTCGGCATTGATTATTATTTTTCCAAAGCTCTTACTGGTTTTCACTGACTACTTCCAATATAGTCTAAAATTATTTTTCAGTCAGGCAAAGTTTTGGTGTAGCAAAGGAAAAGCGTGGCCAGTTTCGTGGAGGTGTTTTCTCAATGTTCTTGGCAGGAGAGAAGCTGGTATTCTCTGCTGTTTCGGGCAATTGGTCAGTAATGTTTTTATGTATCTGTAAGAAACTGATCTGAGAAGGTGTGGTCATGGCCAATCCAAACATATAACAATGTGAGCAAGAGTTTTCTGGCAGTGCTATTCAAGCCTAGTTAAGTTTCAGTGGTACTAAACCTGGTATAATATTCCTTGGATAGGCCTTTGCATCTTTTTGGATTGTAATCTTATAGAAGAACGCTTACAGTATCATCCAAATGGACTGAAATACACAGCAGTCATTTAACTCTCTCTTTAGGTATCGTAATTAACCCTACAATATTTGGGGTGGGTCCAAATTTTAAATATAATATCTGAAATATTTTAAAATAATGCATCATTTTTAGATAAAATTGCTTTGAGGAGTAACTGCTGGATGCATACCTCAAGCATAATTGTTAAATAAAATTGCCAAAAGGAAAGCATGTAAGTCTTTAATGTGATCTGACTATTTTGCCTTGTATTCTTATTAAGCATTGATTATTATTTTTTTTTAAAAAGACCTTTCAAAAATGTGGTATGCAATCAACCACCAATGTTAAAAATGCTATTAAAATTGAAATACAACTGGAACAGCTAAGGTTTCAGAAAAGTGGATTTGGAAACAAGTAATACATTTAAACAGCTTTTACGGTACAACATGTAGACAGAACACTGAACTTAGCGCCTACCAAATAGAGGTATAATTACTCATTTTCTAATTAGCTATTTAGAATACAATGACCAAACACAGTGACCAAATTTTTTTTATTTGTTTGTGCCTGAGAATTTTGTCATCTTCAGACGGGGAGATAAAAAATGTATTTCTAAGATAAACCTTTACAGATTGCAACTGTGCTTCAGCCATGTTTTCAACAAGTTGCAAGCTAGTCTTCAGTCTTGAACGCAGAGGTGACTTGAAGTGTGCTTACTCATATGGTGGAAAAAAATACACATTTGTGTACAGACTTCATAGTTGAGGTTGCAGGTACATTCATCTGTGTATGAAAAAATACCTGTGAAAAAAACTGAGGTCAAAGCTTAATATTTTGCTCTTATGTACATTCTCTTGTTGTCATACAGGGAGTTTATCTGGTTAATAGCTATCAGTGCAAATGATACCGCAGTGAGCAAACTCCAGTAGAAGTGGTCCTTTTAAATTTTCGATTTTATAAAGCAGACATGATATTAGTATTCTTTTCTTTCCAAAATTAATTATAACGCTTGTAGAACAGGTATCTTAAAAATCTGCTGTATGTTTCAGTGCCCCAACTGATGACAGTGTGAAGGGCAGAAGTTGAAGCCCCAGAATAAGGCATACCTTGATTTATCAGTTAACAGCTGATAGGTCTGATTATGTTGCAACTCTATCATCCTAAATGCTGTTTCCTGTTGGTCCATCACTTATAATGAGCTTTGAGGGTTCCTTTTCAGTAGACGTTTCAACCAGAGAAGTCAGAATGCTCTGTTCAGAACCTGGAGTACAAATGATAAAGAAAACATGTTACCATTTTAATTATGATTGCCTATTTAACGTGGGATTTCTTGCAGCCATGTCCTTGAATAACCATTTCTTAGCTAAAATGACACAATTTTGTAGCCAGTGATCCATGACTTTAAATATTTGGAACGGCTATTGATTCACTGGACTGGAAGAAATTAAAGATGTTGAGGCATATTTTCAAAAGTAGAATTACATGTATTATAAATTATATTTGATTGTGTATATTCTATTTACCATTTAAATAATTTTAAAAAGCACAGGTACATGTAATACAGCATTCAATTTATCTGTAATAACCTTAACTGAACGGTCATGGTATTGTTTAAATCAGCTATGTGTAACATTACAAGAGCTGCTAGCACTTACAGCACCTCTTCTTGTTCCCGTGTTGTGGTCCTCTGCGTGTACCTGTTTGTGTTTGTGGTAGTCATTCTCTCTAGGTAAATTGTCCATAAGACCAATGATTCCATCAGTAAATTATCCAGAAAATGCTGTCAGTGCGCATGGTGAGATTTGTGCCACTGGTGGTTTTGTTGCCATTTCAGTGGTCTAATTAAATTGGCAGTTTTCTCTTGTGCCCAGCATCGTTGTCTCCCTTCCTTTGGCACCTTAGCTCAGACCTTCTCCTTTTCTCTGTCCTTTTAACTGAATATCAAATGCATTATTGATTGCTCCTCTTCCACCCTCCTCACTTCCACTCCCCTCAACTTTTTTTATCAATCTTTTTTTTTTTTTTTTTTTTTTTTTTTGATTGGCAGTATCATCCAGACAAACAGAAGGCAGATGTGCCAGCAGGAGAAGTGGAGGAGCGCGTGCAGAGGTTCATCGAAATTGATCAAGCGTGGAAAATTCTAGGGAACGAAGAGACAAAAAAAGAGTATGACCTGCAGCAGCGTGGTAGGTTCCTGCCAAGGAGCGCTGTAGTGGCAGCAGCTCTTTAAATAAGCAGGGTCTGGGAGTGGTAGTTAGATGGTATTTTAAAATGCTGTTTATTGCTGAACCAAATGTTTCTTTCACTCTTGTCCTACTTTCAAATGTGGATCCATTATTTATAGCTTTTGCTACACATACATTAGCTAGTGAAAACATTGAATTACTTCCAACAAAACATTAGGTGGCGTTATTCCTAATAATTTGAATGAAAATGAAATTTATACTAATTACAGACCTTAGCCCTTTTTATTTTATTAAGGCAGCTTCATTAAGTGTTCTTAATTTTAAGTCTTGTACTGCATTTTGTTGCAGTATCTTAGGTACAGGTATTAATCCACTTATACCTAGTGTTCAATGTGTATGGGTTTATAAGCACTTCAGAATCATTAAGATACATTCTTTTCGGTGTGTGTGTTATGGTAGCTTTCATAATTCATCTCTAGTCTAAACTAGCCTTTTTGAAGCAGGTTTATAAATAATATTCCAATATAACACATTAACTAGGCAGCTCTAGCATGCATTTCTTTTTATACCTCTCAGAAAATAGCTTCTTAAAACAGTGACAGGCTGTTGTGAGAAAGAAAGGGGGGAAATGTAGGTCAGGTCTGTCACACATGGGCTACCATTACATGAAGTGATAGGCTGTCTTTCTGCTCTGGCCTCAGGATAGGAGTCCCTCAGCCTTCCATTAGAACCTTCAATAAATGTATATCCACCCTACATGTTAATGGGGGGAGTCAATAATAGTGTATTGCCTGTGGGGAAAACACTCAGTCGCACTCTGCAGTAACACACTCTGGTCCAGCATTGACATGTAGCCACCACCACTTTTGAATGTGTCTGATAAAAGCCCACTGTCTCTGCAGCTTGTTATTGAATTCTCTTCCATTGTACATTGGCACACCATCAGACCTTTCTCTCTTGTGCTGATTTTTAACTCCCCTGCCGCTGCGGATACCAGAACTTTGAGAGACAAAGGCTTAGTCATTCTGGCAGATATGCATCACTGCAGGATAAAAAGAGAGATATATAATTGTATATACCCAGTATGAATTCTCTCGTTTAATAATCTTGTATTTCAGACTTCGTGTGGGTTTTGGAAAAGAGGGTGGAGGGGTAAAAACAAAATTGTGGAATAAATATTTTAAAAGAATGGAAAAAATCTCGTCTTGTGCTAATTTGTTATGTAAACAGTATTAAGATAAAACTTAAATAAATTTTCCTCTCAAACTTTTTTTTTTAAAAGCCTGAATGTGATGCCAGGACAGGAGTTTTTGCTACCTAGTGCTCTCATCCTGTTGTAACATTGTAGTATCAGCTATGTCTTCCATCTTCACAAATTGTACGTGCACAGGAAAAAAGAAATAGTAGTGTGTTAAAGTCTTTTGTGTACCTAGTGAGTTTTACCTAAAGCTTAAATACAGGCTGTGATGTTCCATTTTGCTTGGGTCAGGTTAATCCACTGAAGTTGAGAGCTACATCAAGATTTAATAAGCTACTTTGTTTTCCCATGGAATTCAAGGACATTGCTATAAATTAGTTTTGACAAAATTTATTCTACGGTATTTTAAAGGTTATCTGTATTTCCTGAGACTCTTTTTTTTTTTTTTTTTTTTTTTTTGCATCCAGATGAGTTCTTCTAAAAGCCATTTCAAGATTCTGTAAAAAAGACTTGGTAAATAAAGAAAACAAATTATACATTCATTTACCCAGGTATTTGGTAATGGTATTATAATAGAATAAATGTATTTTAATGTGAAGGGTGCCATTCACAGAGGACCCAGTGTTTCAAACTAAGTCACATGTGACATACGTGTGCACTGTTGTTGCATTCTTTGCAGCATGTTCCCTGGCAGCAAAATGATGGTGAAATAAATTCTAGTTCTTTGAATGCCTGTAAAGTTGCTTCTGAAGTCATGATTCTAGACAAATTCATAGACACTGCTGTAAAAGCTCACAGAAACAAAGGAATTGAGACAGCAGCTAAGGGGAGCAGTGATGAGAGAGAGAGAATACAGCAAGTTGGTAAGACTGCAAAGCCTAGGAAGCAGAATCTGAAGGATGCCAGTGTGCATGTGTGTGTGGCTGCCAGCCAGCAGGACGTCCTTTGCGCTGTGGTCTTTTTCCCATTTCACAGATTGTTTATTTGTATGTAACTTCTTGTTTTATACTACCTCTTAATTACTTGGCTCAGAAATTCAATGGCCAGAGAAGTTCTGAGAGGCTGAAATTCTGAGGGGCTCTATGGTTTTAATTACATGGGATTTTTTTGTTATGGAATTGTTGAGAATAACAAGTGAACATGCTTTCATATCTTAATACTGCTTTTCTCTGAAGGTATCACAATGATCTTCTATTAATTTTTTTGTGCCTTCAGGCCATAGTATTAAAGAGGAAATGACAAACCTCAAACCATTTAAAGGTTTGGCTCAAACACTTATCCAAGCCTCTGGTCTGGAAATCTTACAAGAACTGCCTTTTTGTATGCTTTGTGAAATTTTTTTCAATTCATTGTTTTGTCATATCTTTAATGACATATAACAATACCTTTCTATAATGGTGAATCTTTTGCTTTCAGTGCCTGTGAAAAATTTGGGGGATGGGAAAAAAAAAAAGCTGCATGATTATTTACCTATTGAAAATGGGTTGAGGAAAAAAAAGTCCATTTTTTTTCTTGGAGACTTTTCCATTCTTTGTTTGGTATCCAATTTAGAAAAGATGAATATGCAGTTAAAATCAAGTTTGGCAGTAATGGTTACCAAAAGTTTTTCAGCGAGTTTAGCTTGGAAAAAAACTGTTTTAAGGTTTTCATAGTAGAAGTCATCTGAACCCTGAAAGTTCATGTTTTTGTGTCGCCGTTTGAAAGAATAAAAAACTTTTCACAGAATCAGAGAAACATGTAGGTTGGAAGGGACCTTCATAGGTCATCTAGATCAATCTCCAGCTGCTCTGGGCAGCCTGTTCCAGTGTTTGAACATGTTCATAGTAGAAAAACCAAACCAACCAAACAAAAAAACCCAAGAAAAGAAAAAAAAAGAAAAAAAAAAACAAACAAAACACCAAACCCCAAAACATGTTTTCCATCTATCAAGTTGGATATAAGGACTCTTTTTGCAACTTGTGCCTTTTACTTGTCATCCTCTGGGAAGTCTTCTCTACACTCTCCTATGAGGTAGCTGTAGGCAATGAGGTACCTGTGTTCTTTTGGCCTCTCCTTGTATGATGTGTGTCCCAACCCCTGACCATGGCTTGCTGGTCTTGCTGGACTTGGACCTGTATGTCAGGTACTGGGGAGGCCAAAACTGGACACAGGACTTCACATGCAGTCTCCTTAAGTGGTGAGTAGAGAGAGGGAAAAAAAAGAAATCACTTCCTTCACCTGTTGGCTACACTCTCGCTAATACAGCCCAATAGGGGGTTGGCCTTTGCCACAGGAGTGCCCTGATGACTTGTGCTGAACCTGTTGTCCCCCATGACCCTTGGGTCCTTTTCTGTAAAACTGTTTTCCAGCCAGTTGTCTCCCAGCCTGTACTGGTGCATTGGGTTATTCCATCCCAAAACCAGGACATAATCTTTGTCGAACCCTTTGATGTACCTGTCAGCCCATTTCTATATCCTGTCAAGGTCCGTTTGACTAGTGGCCCTGCAACATTGGTGGATTTTTGTTGACTTCAGTACAAAGCAACTGTGTATCTAAACAATCAATTAAGCTAATTCATTTTACATTTTAATTAATGCTGGAATGATAACTAGTACAGTCACAATAAAAATTAAATCCGTAAACTGGTGACTTCGATTAATTTCTGATGCTAACTGTAGCAAATAATTCAAAGGTAATAATGAGATTGATGCTAAAACCAGATGCTTTGTATGTGGTTTTTGGGGCAGAGGCTGGACAAATTTAAGAATCTAGGGGGTTTTCACTGTATGGCTTCAGTGAGGTTCTATCCAGGAATATATATTTTTATGTGATGATGGACACAGGTGTCCATAAAGCAAAAGTGTTTATAGGGTGGGGATGTAATCACCAGTAGGAGCTTTCGCCTCTCAGCACGTACCTCCTTTTGATTTTCAATTTTTCAATTACATTTTTAGAAAAATATTACAGATGCAATTTTCATACATGAAGACATATTCCAGCATAATTTTCCTTTCGTTCTTGCTTCATTTCTTAGACCTAAGGAATTACAGGTCCTAACTGGAATTGCCAGTGTTCCAGCCTGTGCCATTTGTTTCTGAGAATGATGCTGGTTCCATCCTCTCTGTACCTTCCCTTTAGGCAGTGAGACACAACAAAAATCTTCTCTTAGTCAAAATAGCTCATTTAAAAATATCTGGTCACGAATTCAGCATCCACTGATAATACCAATCTCTAAAACCTGAAAAATCTTTGAGGATGGGCCCTTGCTCTTGCTGAAGTTTCTACTGCAGGTTTGGAAAGGGAGTCCTATACAGGTATGGTCATAAATTAGGAAAATGAAAAACCAAATAGAAGGTAGCTCCTTCTCCCTGCGGTCCTTCCCCATTCCTCTCTTAGTACAGTAAACTGAAAAGACTGTTTTGGAGATGGAACACTGGACGAATGGGAAAGTGACCCTGCTGCTGCAGTGACAAAGTGATGATTCTGCATTAGACATCAAGAGATCATACGTAATTTGGTAAATAGGATGCCAGAAGAATAACCTTACAAATCCACTATGAGAACAAGCAGGAGAAGCAACACAAAAGCATACAAAAATGCTTTTAATAGCTAACAGAAATGGCAATAGAACACCGTGACTACCTTGTTATAAGAAAGGAAAAAAAAAAACTAACACAGTGTATTTTAGTTGTTCCTTGTTAAGAAAATTCCTTCTTGAAAAAAATACTGTTAGGCCAAAATAAAGCTTTCAACATGGCTGTTAACATGGCCGTTAACTTAGGCTTTTCAGTGTGGCAGGTTCTCTTTAAGTGACAGAAGCGTTTGTTTCTTCTCTAGCCACGGATTTTACAGTTGTGCTGGAACACAAGCCTTTTACCACAGCTCTTTGGGATGAATTCTAATCTGCGCCGGCTACAAGTGAAGCAGTTTTTTGTTTGGTTTTTTTTTTTTTAACAAACATATTTTCTTATGAAAATTCTTTACGTATGACTTTTTTATAATTTCAAATTAAAGCAAGAACAGTTATTTTAAATTAATGTAAGAGAGTAAAACTTAAGTAATTGTTTTAAAAAATAAGTAGCCTATTAGAAAAACTTAACTTCTGAAACTATCCAGGTTTTGAGTACTGTGCTGATTTTGTTACTTAGTACATACTATGAACAGTATTGGATTGACAATGCTTATCTTGAACTTTTTTAATTACGTGTTTGGTTTTAAAAAAAAAAAATCCTAAGAATATATGACTGATAAAGACCTAGAAAAATCTTTAAAGTCTTATGACTATTTTTACTATTACCATAAACTGTTAAAAGGGTTAAATTTCCATTTACTGCTCGCAACCCTTGCAACTCAGCCTTAAATAGCCAAGAAATATTTATTGTATCCCCAAGTGAAACTTAAATACCTTTCCTCTTTTACAATTTCTGAATGACCCAGCAAGGGCTCTAGTAAAGCTTTACTGAACCAAGCTGCTAATAGTTATTTAATGTTGTTCTGTAGCCTGAAAGAATCTCAGTAGATTTTTCCTTTTAATCTCTTTGAATTGCAGGCTCATAAACCTCTCTGATGAGCCTGCCAGTGTTTTCTTAGATCCTGTAGTTGAGACAATGGAGCTGCAGAATCCTTTCACCTCTTGTTGTCAGACAAATCCAGTAGATGGCAAAGCCAGGCAGGCTGTACTACTTGTGAATTAAAATTTGTTTTTCAAGTTATGGTAGATGATCAGGTCTTCACAGTTATCCCTATGTGTTTAGGAATGTGTTTCATAAAGTACCGCTCGGTATACAGTTCTACAGCTTGAGCAGGCGTCACACGTAAGTAAGCCTACCACAGAACTTGGTACTGGTAACAATACCAGTCTTAAATAACCTTCTCCAGCAAGGGAGTGAAATCAGACACCAGTTTACTTCAGAGAGCCACTAACGGGAGTCATGGCTGTAATAATAATGATGTAGATGAAATAAGAAGAAGCACAAGAAGTATTAGAGTCACTAACACACACTGGGAAAACCATTGGGTTTGTGGTTCTGTTTGTAAGCTCCCCAAACTCGTACTGGGCTGTCTCTCTCTTTTTAAATAAGTGGCTGAATCAGATTCCACTGCTTAAGGTATATTAGATTGGGTAGTGTATTTAGTAGTAGAACTAGAAAATAAAAAAGCTTTGTTCAACTCTGGAAAGTAAGTTTCTCCTGCTTGAACCAGGTAAGCAAATAAATGTAGGACATAAAACTGACTGGCAAGAGCAGCTACTGGATTATGTGATAAGTTTGGAGACTTACTCAAGTCAAGAGTACGAATTGAAAATTTAATCTTTTGTGATTTAACCAGTAAGACTCTTTCAGACTTTAGCATCAGACTAGGAATAATGATCTCTGTTCAGGCTGGGAATTGCATGAGTAATTAATTTTGCATGTTGATTTTAATTATTATTTTATTTTTAAAATTACAATTGCAGTAACAAATTAGAAAACCTAGGTTGAAATTCTGTTTCCTGGGCTTCATGTTGTATGATGTTTGGAATAGAAGAGAGGGTAGACTTTTCCTTGGCCGCCCTCTCCATTACTTTGCGAGTAACTTTATTTCAGGAAGTATGGTAACCTCATGAATTTGTGTCTCGCCAGTTCTCTTTGTGGTGGTATATGGTCCATCTGCCCTTTTTGTCTTTTCTAACAGCAAGACATGAGCCAGACCTCCTATAAAACTTTTTGAGTGAAATCCTGCTTTGTGAATTACAGATAGGAAAGCCTGGTTTCTTTTTAACTCAAATTTTTGCTACCTATAAATGAAGCTTAGGAAAATTTGTTCTTTCTACAACCCAAGAGACCATTTTCCTTTGTGAATTTTTCTTTCAAGTATTAAAAAACAAAGAAACCCCACCAAAACACCACAACACCAAACAGGTGAAATAGGAAGCACTTGCCTTTTTCACACTTTCTCACAGTTTTGTCGTCTTCCACCACAGTGGAGAGAAGAACCTGAAGGTAGGTAGGTAGGTAGACTTCATTCTGATCTCTGTTTTTTTTCCCCCCTCAAGAAAGAGGAGGAAGAATCTTTACTTCACACAAGGCCTCTGACTGGTTTGTGGGTGTTCTCAGGATGTTCACTGTTGCCATTCTCATGTTTTGTAGGTAGAAGGCTGTACCAGACTAACTCCAGGTAATGTTAGAGTTACTTGGCAGGAGTTAAGACCATGTGACCTTTTATTTTATTTTGGACATTCCATGCAGTTAGCTAATAGTCCGATCAGATGTTAAGAAATATGTTGTTACTTTGTATAACTAAAACATTAAGCCCTTGTTTGTGCAATCAAGAGCATGCACAGCAGTGAGAATGACTGTGTGATAGGTGTCTCTTCCAGTTTTCTTTCATCTTTACACTCTTGCTGATTTTTTTTCCCTTTCTTAGACAGCAGTAAAGTATTAGGTGTGAGTAGGTTAATTTTCTTTTAATTCTGACCTTTACATTACAGAATAGGTGTTCAGCAAAGGTAATGTCAAAGAGGCTCCATTAATTCTGTCATTATTTGCTACGTGTCTGATTTGTTTTAATCTCCTTCACTAAAACTAATTTAGATGAGGCTTATTCTCAAGGACCTATAATGTACCTTTCTGTTAAAACCAGAATAGTCATTTAGTTGCAAAATAAAGACTGGGACTTAATACTTGGTTCATTTTTTTGTTTGTTTGGTTGGTTTTTTTAAACTAGCCTTAAATGTCCAATTTAAAACTCCAAAATGTAAGTATTAACTCTTCTTTTTTTTTTTTTCCCCCCCCAATTTTACATAAGGTTAGTTAAAATGCAAGGGGTTCATTTCACTACTGGTATATTACATTAATACTTCTGCCTATGATACTATACTTTTAAAACTGATAGAGGTATGAAAAGGGAAAAAAAAACCCCAACCAAAACCCAACAAAACAGATTGGTTAGATTTTAAAGTTAACTTAGATGATTAACTATAGAGAAAGCTGTGATTAGCTATTGCTAGGATTATACTTCCATAGCAGCCTTGATGTTCCTTGCAGCAACTCACACTACTTTGTTGTAAGTTAGGAATCTTACTTGTGAATACCTTGCTTTACATAGTTCATGTGTGAAACCAACTCATAGCATATTGATGTCTGTCTGTCTGTTCTGAGTCACACCTTCACCGCTCAAACTGATAGCGAATTTTGAAGAGTAAGGTGGCTGCAAGTAGATGATGGTGTTTGGTGATAAAGAAGGAAACATTCCCTTATCTGATCAGCTGAAGGCTGGAGATGCGCAGTTTTCCTGGGGTATTACTGGAGGAGGTAGCTGCGAAGTCTCTCATTTCTACTTCTCCATCCAGAGCAAAAAGCAGTTATATAGAAGCAGCTGGGAACCATTTAGAATATCCCGTATTCTAATGATTGCGTAGGGCAATCTCTTGGGAATTGAAATAACATAAAATAATCTGGGCCTCTGACTTCTTCAGCAAGTGCTGAATAAGTAGTTCTGGAATAAGAAAATCTTTCACTGCTAACTTTTCATAGAAAGCCGCAGACAGCACTGTATGCTCTAGAAAGCTTGATGTTATTAAACTATAAAACTTTTTTAAAAAAACTCACTGATCCAAGAGAAGGAACACCTACTTTCTCAGTAACAAGCCAATTTAAACCTTAAATCAGCGCTAAGCTCCTGAGTCTTGCCAGATCTAAGGCATTTCTGTACATGTCCTGAAGATCAGCTTTTCAGGCATTTCTCGTTCTTTAAAATAGAGCATTTGGGGAGTTGGAGCGGCCAGGTGTCAGGCAACAGCTGGGAGGTTTCATGTAGTAAGTTGTAAGGGGGTTTTGTCCTTTTTTTTTCCTTTTTTTTATATTGCCTTTTATGGCTTCACTTGTAACTGTTGACAAAATCTTGACAACATATTGTCAAGTTAAAGAACTTTGTGTGAACTTTGTGCATCAAATATGAATGTCCTGATAAATTTCAAAAAACAATTTGTATTTTGTATTGCAGTGTTTGCATTTGATAATTTCAGTTGTATTGTACGCTTTTCAGGTGGTGCTCACCGTTGGAAGAATCTAGGGGATCAAATCACGGGAATCTTGGTGGTGGTCTCCCATGCAACCCTAGCATTTACTTGGTGCTTATTGGGGGGGGAAGTTACTTGGCTTCTCCTTTCTGAAGGAGAATGGGTTGGCGAAGAGAGGTTGTGCAGTCACCATCGGTGGAGATATTTAAAATCTCACTGGACATGGTCCTGGGCAGCCTGCTCTAGCTGACCCTGCTTGTGCTGGAGGGTTGGATTAGGTGATCTTGAGAGGTCCCTTCTGACCTCAACCATTCTGTGAGTTTGTGAAAAGTACAGTTAGGCAGACACTTACACTTTCAGCTTGTGGAATTTACAGCCAGGCTTTTAGAAGGTATTTATATCAAAACAAAAGTTTGCCCTTAATGTCACATAGTTGTTTGGGATGCGCAAAGGTACTGATTTCAGTAGTGTCTTAATTTCTATAATGCATCTTCACAGTTTAATTCTCCTGGCTACAGTAGGACATTTTCCATCTTATGCAGAGATATGGAAACTAAAATTTTAGAGAACTGCATTTTTAACTGGTAACGTGGTGTAGGTATGGCCCTCTAGTAGGGACCAGATTGACTGCTGGGTATCCAAAACTACTGATTTATCAGAAAGAAATAAGGACCTGTATGTTACCAGGGTTGAATATCTATCATGTTTTCTTTACAGAAGATAATCTGACAAAAGAATGGCCACTACACGCACAAATTTGTCTTGAGGAGATGTCCTGGAATGAAGGTACGAGTGCCTTACTACTTGTTCCCGCTGCCTTTCATTATTACTGCAAACGTTTTCTATTTTTTCTGCCTCTTATGTCATTATGTTGTCGTATTGTAAGTTCTACTTTTTTTTTGGATGTCCCTTGGATTTAGCTGTTATGTTCTCTGTGATTACCTGAATTGGAACTTAATTTCCTGTGATACTTACTTTGCATTCCTCCTTCATCTCCCCTCTGCCCCGCCGCCGCTTGCAGTACCACTTTTCACCTAGCTCTCTTCCGGTAGTATAATCAGGTATTTAGATTTCCAGATTCTTCCCAAATCTCTCATGCATCTTCTTGCTCTTTCCGTGATGGTAGAATGTGAGTGTTTTCATACAGATTTTTTTCCATCTGACAGCGTGTTACTTCTCTCCTTTATATTACTTTAGCTTTTACCACTTACTTGCTTTTTGGAGGAATGGCTGACTTTTTTTTATTTTTTTTTTACCCTTTTTTTTTTTTTTTTTTTTTTTTTAAACTGTGGGGGAAAATCCCATGTACTTCCTATTCTTCTGTTTTAGCTTTGTTTCCTGGGTTAGCAGTCTTGTTTTGGAACCATCCTTGATCTGTCATATGTATAATTAACACCCCTTATGTTTGTTCTTAATTGCTCTCTAAAGATCTTGGTACTTTGTCCAAATCAAATTCTCATTCAGAAATATTCAGTGGTGTAGTCCTTTTGAGGGGAAAATCCCATGTACTTCCTATTCTTCTGTTTTAGCTTTGTTTCCTGGGTTAGCAGTCTTGTTTTGGAACCATCCTTGATCTGTCATATGTATAATTAACACCCCTTATGTTTGTTCTTAATTGCTCTCTAAAGATCTTGGTACTTTGTCCAAATCAAATTCTCATTCAGAAATATTCAGTGGTGTAGTCCTTTTGACATATGTCTGTTTCACTGATGTACACCTTTTTATTATGTGCTCTGTTCAAGAGACTACACTGGCACCAGCTGTTTGGCATAAGAGTGCCTCACAGTCACCAAAACACATTTGAACAATATTGCTATTTCTTGAGCAACAGATGGTAGCACAGGTACTGATATTCACAATCCAGCAGTGAGGGGGTCATACACACAAATTATGTTTTGTTATTAAGAGCAGCTTTGTGAAGAAAACCCAAAATAAATTCTTGATTCTTCTCAAGCACTAAAGGCTTTTTTGTTTTCTTTTTTGGCAGATGAACAATGTTATACGCTCTCGTGCCGATGTGGTGGGAATTACACTGTCTTTAAGAGTGAAACCAAAGACGTATCTTTGGTTTGTTGTGACACCTGTTCACTTGTTATTGAGATCCTTCAATGATGGTTTCAGTCAAGCACACTAAGAGTTACAAACTTTTAAAAAGCCTGGACAAGCAGGGGACAGCATCTGCTAAGAATGTATGTTAAAGAAATGGGGGGCACTACAAGAACGACTTCAGGCTTAGAAAAGGAAATGTGCCCATTTGCTAATGTAGCTCTGCGGACATGAGGCCTGTTTTTTTTTTCTTTTCCTTTTGCAGCTAAAGTGCCAGTTATTAAAAACCTCTGGAACAGAACACTGAGTTCCGTACAACTGGAATATATCTCGCACTCTAAGTGACATTTCTTTCCCAGCAAACAACGGAGTTGCTTCTTTCAATCTCAGTCTATATCAACTATACCTTAGGCCCTACCTCTTAAAAGGATTTAACCTAACAGCTCAGATGACAAAATTTAATCAACAGGCATACACGTGAGAATGCTTTGAAGACAATGAAGAGTAAGGTGCATTAATGGGAAACAGGAACATTTTATATTTCTATGCTAGATATTTAACTTCATTAAATCCTCACAAGGACTTGAGCCTTGGAAAGAGGTGGCAGAGACTTGCAGATCTAACAGGCTGGTAGCAGGTCCAGGGCCTATGCGCTGGACTGTAACGCTGCATCTACATGAACTTTTTGGCTTGGAGCAGGAACAGGCTTTCAACCGTCTCCCTCCATCGTCTGAGCAAATGCAGTCTTCATTCCTTAGATGAAAACTAATTGAGAAGCTGTGCTCTGAGCCCTACCGAGCACACAGTCTACAGGGCCGACCTAGAGCCAGTTTAAGGAAGACCCTACAAAACACACGTAAGTGACCAGCAGATCCAGAACCCCACCATTACTGTTTTAAGTTCCAGTCCTACACTGCTTGCTAATGTAGGCGTAGCCTACGTGTGGCTCCAGACTCATGACAATGTAATAGCACACTGCGCCTTTTTCAGCCCATGTTACCAGTCAATGCTAACCTTGGCTTGTAGTAAAAAACAAACCTTCTGATAAATCCAAGCACTTATTGTGAACAGCCAGAGGAAACGGCATATAACTTTTGTTGACAACACCAGTATATGATTCCCACTTTCAAGTTAGAGGTAATCCCAGAAAGAGACATCTTTGTCATGTAATACTTGTGTTTATTCTAAACAAAAATAGTTCTATTGATTTAGTAGAAAACATTATGAAAACTGGCAGTAGTCACTTAAATCTTCTAATCATCGAGAAATCTATGGCTGTTGGGGCTTGCACGTAGAAATCCAAAGTCATTCAGAGGCCATATCTGTAAAATAAAAATACAGTTTCAAGAGATTTTTATCACAGCTCAAAGTTCAGTGTTTTCATTTGTTATCATTGTAATTGTTTCATAAACTGCGTAAGTTTTTAGCTCTTAGGTTGACAGGGGTATGAACTTTTCTTACCTGTGTGTTTCTTTTACTAGCAGTAATAAACACTATGTCATACTTCCATAGTGGCTGGAGACCACGCTAACTTATACACAACATACTTTGCTATGGAGACCCTCACAAATTACATTATTTTTTTCAGCCTTGGAAATAAATACATGCCTAGAAAATATCTTTTAAACTCAAAGTTTTCTAGCTTGTAAACTTCTTCATTTAAAAGACAAAGTATATGTATTTCTGATCCATCTAAGGGAGGAAAGAATACCACAAACATTACCTCCCAGTGAAAGTAGTTCTATGAGGTATATATTTGTATTTTGAAGATGGGCATTTGAACTGCAAACACCAAACCTTGCAGGGGAAAAAAAAAAAACACCAAACTGTAGGCTTATAGGTGAGTTTATACCATGCAAATAAGTATAAAGGGGTGGAGTGCCTGCCACCATCAGGGGCTGTCAGCCACAGGGCTCCTCTGAGAAGGTGACAACTACATGGAAAAACAAGGAGCACAAACCATGACCAAGTACAAGCACAAGTGTCAGAGGATGCTCACCAGTAAGAAAAAAAAACTTTCTCTCCAAAAATTAACGATAGAGCTGTTCATACTACTCTGTGCTCCCAGGAGTACTCCCCTCTGACCATTCGCTAATTACATGTAGGCTGGTCTTGGATGCAAAAAACAGTAATAGGTAATCAAGGACATTGTTTTACACTTTGTCTCCTTTGACTGCCTGTGTCCCTTCACTACACATTCTTTCAAAGACGGCACGAGGGGATCAGCAGGAGGGTATCATCAGGAAGACGGGAAAGAGATTATGTTTGAGAATGACTGAAGAATGAATGCCCTTCTGCGGCTCTAATCCTGTAAAAATCTCACAGCCCCTGCTCAAGATGAAGCGACCTAGACCGAGAAAGATGATGCACTACCTTGTTCCCAAAGCATCTGTTGGTATGATGTTTATCCTGCTCATTTTAACTTAGAATTTGATCTTAAGGAAGGTATGCAGTCACCTTCCAGGAACAACAACTTACTTACTCTGAGTTCACAGAACATCAACAGCACAGAAGGAGCCTTTGCTGCTTTCTGTGTGGAGTGAAAAAATAATTTTCTCAATTTAAAAGAGGAAGCACAGTGCCAAGGTTCAATATTTCAGACCCCATGACTTGTCCCCAGCACTAAGGACAATGACAGAAAAGGAAGAGGCAGTTAAGGATGGGAGACTGAGTAGCAAGACATAGCATCAACTTACTACTAGACTGTGACTGCGCACTGCCAGAAGCTCCCTAGACTTGCCTCTGTCAGGCCCTTGCAGCACTGCGCTAAGTTGCCATCAGTTGGCCCTCAGGAGGACGGCAGGATGAGTCAGTCCCAGGACCTCAGGTCCTGTGGATCTGAAAAAGGCTCAAAAGGTCTCTTGTGCAAGGATCTTAGAAAATACGTGTCTTCTCTGGCATGTGCAGCTAGGGAAGAGCATGAGGAACATCCGCTGATTCAGAAATATGCAGAGGTAATGTCTTGTCTCTATATTAGCCAGTGAGCTATTTTAAGTTGCACACAAATACATAGAGATATGAACCAACAACAGCAGGATATTTGTGATCTTGGTTAGAAGCGAAGCTACGGCATTCAAGGCTCTCCAGAGGGCCTATACTGGCTGCAGGCTGGGTGTCAAGGCTTTGTTTGGCCTCAAAGGCAAATGGGAGCAAAAGGGAATAGGAATATCCCATATTACAAATCTAAGCTGATCTGAGTAAAGGCCCGGAGAAGGAAGTTTCTTAGGCCATTCACTATAGCACAAATCTCGTTTCAGGCAACTCAAATCACACCTAGTGCAACTTTACTTTCTTTAAGTGAAAGTAATCAGATTTGGTTTAAATATTGTTTTGACAATTTAGTTTCAAATTTATCGTTGTAATTGTAGTGGTAGAGTTAGAATGAAAATGATGGTTTATCTCATCTGTGCAGGAGAGAATGCAAAAAACACTACTCAGGGTTGGAAAGGAGATAGAACAAGCATTCGATGGGAAACAAAGGCATGCCACTGTGTGCAGTAATTCCCAAGTCTTTTAAAGTTATGACAGAAGTTGACTGTGACTTGTTCGTTCAAACTGGCTAGTCCAATTAGCAGCTATTTCCCCTTGGTTTGGCCTACATAGATTTGATCTGATGGCTGGGGGGATAAATGGGGCTAACTAGGTCTTTTGAAGATAAGACTACAGGTCTGGTTTTGACATGGAGCCTAAGTCCAGGGAATGCACAGGATATCCTCCCCAGGACAGGATGAAGCACAGGTTCTGCCAAGTGGGACTCCTAGGCTTTTACTGAATTTGCAGCTGCTTTGATTTCGGTGGCCTTTTTATGGAATGAACTTGCCTCTCAGAGTGACTGAGAATCTTGGATCTAAACTTCACAGATAAGCTACAGAGAGAATTAACATTTATGTTTTGGCAAGAGTAGGTTGCCTAAACAAACTTGGTACAAGCTCGTTCTCTTCTGTTGAAATCCATTATTTCCAAACTAGATACGGGTTTTTTGCAGCCATTACTAAAAATGTAACTTAGCATTCAAAGGCACTGTTACATCTGCTTCTCCCAAATCCACTTTAAGATAAAGCTTCCATTCTCAAGGTAGTAAAAGGTTTTTCATGAAACCTTTAGCAGACCACATTAAAAAGTGTGTATATAGGTTCCTTGGCCAGTGGTCTACTAACTAGCTACCACCTTGTGGAGGAGCTGTGTTCTGCTGCCTTCACTGTCATGCTCAGTAGCAACATACAATAGCAAGATCACTGCAGTCTAACGCAAATTACCATAAACAGCCCAAACTATAAACACCCATTTGGAGAATAAACTCATTTTTGCTTTTGTTAGGCACCGTATACTTAAATCTCATTAAAATGTTAATAATCACTACCCTGTGCACCATCATAAAACAACTGCTATAAAATTTGATTAAATAATAATTTTGATTGAGTGTTAAGTGATTGCATGCTATCTTTTTAAACAGACGGTATTCTGGAGTCCTGAAGTACTTCTTCAATATGTAATGCCTGTGTGTAAGGTCCATTCATTTTACAGAGCTTACTCCTTGCTAAATTTAGGGTTCAGACCTGTCAGTCACTTCATTAAAGTCCCTCAAACATCCTCCTTGTTGTGTACAAGCTGGACACGAATTTATTGCTGTGGAGGGATGCTGTGAATAATTATGCCTGTCCACATACGCAGGTTATTAACACATATGTTATTTGCTAATAGTCCCCTTAAAGTAGTAAACAGCAGTTTTTCTATTCTAGTACATCAGTTGGAGAATTTTTTTTTTCAGAGAGCCATCAGCATATTAGCATCATTTGTATTTCAGCAGTTAATAATCCAAGCTGAAACTTGGGTCATCAAAAAGCCCCATTTAGAATCGGCGTTTTTTCCTCTGGTGTACACGGTAAGGCAAACAATGCAGAGGAGGAACAGAGAGCACTCAATAAACGCTAGGGAAGAACTCAAAGCAAATGCCATCCAGAGAGAACAGAGGTCAGACAAAACTCGGTGGTGGGGCTGAGGGGGCCATGTTATTTGAGGTTTAGTAAGCAATTAGTGCTTATGCTCAATAGCTCCAAGGTTTTTTGAAAAGTCCGAAGTTGGGTTCATAACAGTGTAAGTATATAAAACGGTGTTAAATTGGAAAGATACGATCTTCCCTGTGCATGTAACAGAGCTGTGCTCAATTGTGGTTTTGTGGATGGAGAACAGTTTTCAAAACCTTTTCCTATTGTTCTGACTGGTACCATTTTAAATCTGGTGTAAGTCAGTAATACAGACTCCCTTGTTTCTTAGAGTAAACCTTTTATGCAGAGGAAATTGTCTTAGTTTCTTCTTTTTGCTAAATGAGTAAATTAATAATGCAGATAATATGAAAAAGTAATTTAGTGTGAAATAAAGCTGTAGAATTGTTGAAACAGGAAGAGGAACCGTGGAGGTTTATACAATATGGTGTTAATTCAAAGCATTTTTTTTTAAATAAAAACATGGCAGATGATTACAGTGGCACAGATTTGACTTTACTGCTAAGGCTTTTTCACAGACTTAGTTTAAAAAGCAGCAAGGCCAGTCCACATATCTAAAGTATGTATGCAAGTCCTAGAAAGATAACCTTTTCCTCCATCTTTGGCTTTTGAACTATGGAACTACACTTCTCAAATTACAACAGTGAATTTCGGAGCTGCCCTTTTCTACCATTTTGCAGAGGCAAGAATCAAATGAAGGATGGAATAGATATCCATGCAGTAGGGTGTACATGTCTCTGTGTGTATGTTTGTGTTTTTATCAGGTTTGGATTTGCTTGCAAAATAATTATTCAGTTTTCAGAGGCAGTGGCTGCTCAAAGAGTGCTGCTCAAAAAACAAGCCCTCCCTCAAAAAAAAAAAAACCAAAAAACCCCCAAAACCCCACCGTTGTTGAATTACCCTTTTACAGCAAGTGTTTAAGCCTTCCTTTACATTTGCTTTGGCCAGACAGTTAAGGAGGCTAATTTTAATACCTTACACTCAGGCATTAAAAATGTAATAATGCAACTATATTTAGATACTACGTGTATATATACCTTAAAACAAATGCGTCCTCTTATCAGCCCGTAAGGAACAGGTCCATAGCACCTGGAATCCGTAGAATTCCTGAGATTATCACCTTCTAACCAAACGTGTCCTTTAGGCACCTGTGATTAAGCAAGATGGGAATGTAAAAAGAGAAGAGAATGGTATTAAGCATGGTTTGCCTTACCGTGTATTTTCTGATTTCTGTGCTCTGTATTTCATAACTGTATAATGAACTAATTTTTTACTGAATCTAGTAAGACACGGTGCCAGATTTGGAGGGATGAGAAGGAGTGCTCCAAAGTATCTGTTCTATCATGTGCTCAAAAAACAATGGTTTGCAACAAAAAATCCAAAATGAAGATGTAAGAGGTTAGACCAATGTGACAGGGTCATTAATTTAATAGACTTCAAAAGAGGTCATTAGGATGTTGACTGAAAATCTGCCCTCCTGTCGCAGTAACAGCATGAACAGGGCAGCCACACACTCATCAACATCCTGGGGCCAGCACCAAGGCTAGACCTGTTAGTAGATTCATGATGAACTAACTGGTAATTGATTGTGACATCAATTACGAATAATCTCATCATTTTATCGGAGTAGGCTTGTCAAAGTTCTAATTAAGATCACAGTTCATTCTATGTGCAGGCAGAATCCACAACACATTATATTGCAATAATGATGATCACAAAACAGCAAATCCCTTTTTATAATTTGAAAATTAATGATGGTGACCTTATACTATATGACAAAGACCTTTCATTGCCTATATATATTATGCATTAACTGTATTACATACCGTAGATTCATGGCATTCACTGACTCAATGACAAAATAAGAAATAGCAACATAGCTGTATTAGTTACCTAAATAAGACTATAAAGCTTTCATGTATGAAGAAGTTGCTACTACACGTCTTAAACTAAGATTTCCACTTGGAATATACAATGCTATTTTGATAAGTTTTTTTAAAAACATTTCAGATATAAATAACCTCTTGCAAGTTACCAAATAAAATAATTATTTTCTAATCTGTTTTCATTTCTAAAATCCTAAAACAGGCTGAAAATTTAAAAGTAGCAACATATTATCAATCTAGATAATTTTTAATGTGGACTTTAGGTTAATGTACATTTTTTCAAAGCCAAATATGTACTTGAAACATTACTATGCCCACAATTCAGAGAAAAAAATATGGAAACGAAATTTAAAAAAACACAATTTCACATGAAGCTCAAGAGTTTGAGCAGTATAAATATTAATGGTTTAGAAATAAGCCACATGCACTCATAAATAACAACAGTCTACATATACAGAATTCAATGATAACAGACTGAACAAAATACAATACCACTCTAGTAGTAAAGTCTGGATGTAAACCGTTAAGAATAAAACCAGGTCCCCAGACAAACATTTGAGGAAAATACAGTGGAAGTGTAATTGCTGGTACCTACAGGTATCTGGCCAGGTAACCTTACTGGGAACCTTGTCTTTAAATGAGCCTTTGAGGCCTTGCCTAGTCACGCTCCCGCCCGCCCGTTACCAGCCTGGGACCCGAGGCCAGCGCGCTACCCCAGAGTCCCTCTGCTGAGCTGCCACAAATGTATAAGCTATGGATTAAGAACCAAGTTTGTCCCTGACCATGGCGGAAAGCGTTTCTGAGCCTGCCCATCTCCTCCCAGCCGACCCCGTAGTTCTCTGGTCTCCAGGACAAGGTGCTTTAGCCAAGTCAGCGGGCACCCACCCCTCCTCATAGTTTTAGAATCTACATGTGGAGCAGTAGACCAGCAATATGTTTAAACCCTTCTGAAACCCACTGATGCTGTCACCTTCCACAGTCTCCTGTATAAAACAAACAAGGCGGCACTCCTTTAAACTGATCTGCTGTTCCTGTCAAGGTCCTTTACTTCTTGTTCACCCAGTTCTTCCATACAGGCATTCCATATTCAGCTTCACCTGCCTCCTTTCTTATTTCGTAGGCTTATCAGATGGCTGGCATACACATGGAGGAGCCTTCTCTGGGAAGGCCAGTTGGGTTCAGCTATGTGACTTTGCGCCTCCTCCTACCCAAGCAGCTTTGCAAACAAAATAACCAACCAGAAGCCAATTTAAAATAAATTTAAAATCTAAATAAATCAAAAGAAAATTCTATCCACAGTCAAATGACCTGTGTAGAATATACATGCAGACAGCTGTTTTGATAGGTCTCCATCTGAGACTGCACTGACATTCCCATTTTCCTCAACAATTCTGTGGTATACAGCCTATTTAGAATGTCCAGCAGCAATTGTTGCTGTGCTGGTTTGGGCTGGGATAGACTGCAGCTGACCCCAGGGATATCTCCCATGCCCTATGACATCATGCTCAACATATAAAGCTGGGGGAGGAAGAAAGAAGGGGGGTACGTTTGGAGTGATGGCATTTGTCTTCCCAAGTCACCATTATGCATGATGGAGCCCTGCTTTCCTGGAGATGGTTGAACACCTGCCTGCCCACGGGAAGCAGTGGATGAATTCCTTGTTTTGCTTTGCTTTGCTTGCACGCATGGCTTTTGCTTTTCCTGTTAAACTGTCTTTATCTGAACCCATGACTTTTCTCAGTTTTACACTCCCGATTCTCTCCCCCATCCCACTGCAGCTGGGTGGGGCGGAGCTGCCGGCTGGGGTTAAACCATGACAGTGGGACATTCATCTTTACTTATTTGCAGCATACCCACCTAAAGCATTCAGTGTCCACATCTTACATGAGTTCATTTTTCAGGTGCACATTACAATGCAAAGCAGTGCTCTGACCTTTCTGGTGCAAACTCTCCTGTCCAGCATCTACCAGAATTACCAATCATATATCAAACATCAAACTACTGTCATTTTGAGAGACTATCTCAGCAAATATACAAAAAGGAGAAGCATGAATTACTATGAAAGGAAGATTTTTTAATGAAATAAAAAAGCAAAAACCCACATTAAGATTTAAGTTTCAGAAAAAGCGTCACTTCTTGCAATGTGCTACTGTTTCACACGCAGGACACTACCAGCTCCCCCTTCCTGTGCTTTCTCACTTTCCCTGATTCATAGGCAGAACGTGAAGCTCTTCTGTGACTACCTGCCATAAGGACCCACTCATAACACAAGTATATCCAAACCCTTCTAGACCTTCCCATCTTTCTTCCATGCTCCAAAGGTATAAAAAATAAAGTGCTTTTGCCAGCTGTGGTGTATCACTTACTACTTCTAATACTAATTACTTGTCTAGACAAGTTGTTCATAGTTCGCATTCCAGATAGAGTATTTTCAATAAAATATATTCCTATATCCTGAAATTCACCACTTACAGTAACTTTTGTAGTTCACCATGGAGGGTATGATAGAACCCTATACCTCTAAGTTTGTCATTAAGAGTTCTGCCACAATGTACAATTCATCTAGAGATAGTACAGTGTAATACCTTCACTACAACCTAGAATTAAGACAAGCAATAAAAATCACATGTATTGCATGAAAATGTAAAACCAAATACCAGTGACAGGCCATCATCATTAATTAAAAAAAAAAAAAAAAAAAAAAAAAAAGTTGTTTACACCCCTTTGAAACAAAGGCCAAAGCCAGAATCCTTCAAGGACCGAGCTGTTTCTACACCAGATCACTGATTTCAGTGGGATTACTCACATTGATCAAAGTTAACTTTGAGTATCAACCTTTGCAGAATTGGGACCAAATCTGAAATGCCTCCAAGCTATGCAAGCACAGTAGCTGGGAATAAGATATATTTTTAACCAAAAAAACCCCATAAACCTATTGAAAACTTGTATCTGTAGGAAGAATATATTCATTACACAGCAATAGACTGCTACTGCCAAAAAACCCAAGGCAATGGGAAAGCCACTCGCTTGACACTAAGAAGTACGACTGAAATCACAGTTACCATTACTACACACAGGAAGATTGTGAATACAAAAAATACTGACAGGAGTGCCAAAGGGGTTTAACTTAGGTTGGGCAGCATCTCAGTTCCCCCTTATACATAGGCCAGACCTCAGATGTGAAAGTCTCAAGCCCAACAACTGAATTTTCACGTAACTAGTGGGTCAATGCAGACCCAGCAGTTCCACAGTAGCATGGGTTCACGCGAAAACACGCTGCCTCTGATCGCCTGCAGACTACTCTGCCTCAGCAACCCTTGCGCCTCTGCTTTTGTGCAGATTATCTGAGGATTTATTTGCAAGGAGCAGCAGTTCTCGGGCAGAACCGGTTATCTGAGGTGCAGCTTATATGCACGCGAATACAGGACAGCGATCAGACACGCGACTCTTCCCCCGTCTCCCTTCCAAGGCTCTGAGGGCTCCAGTCCAGAGGCAGACAGACCAGAAGAGCAGGATTACCATGCAGAACAGCCGAGCTCATAGCAGGACCTTATTCAGTTTCAGCTCAGGTAAATTAAGCATCTTTCACTGCGACAAACAGGCTGAATTTGCAGGGCTGTTGTCATTCACTTAGTGGTATAGTTAAAGTGGCAAAACTGAAGTACGGGTCAGGTATTTGATGCATACTTGCTGGCATAAAACATTCATTTACATAAATGGGCAGGGGGGAATCAACAAAGAATTATATTTTGGTCTTCTTACATGACACCAAACCTTGTTCTTTGGGTGATCTCACTAACTGCAAAACCGAGCGATGAGATGCCTGCACTGCATTAACTGGCATACTAGAAAAGTAATATACTGCAAAGAAGATTAACAGATTAAATTATCTGCCTCAAAAATACCCCCCAAACCCAACTAAATGAAAATAGGCTTTTGTGGTTTGGGTTGGGTTTTTTGTTTTGGTGGGGGTTTTTTTTGGTTTGTGATTCTGGGGGGGCTCTGGGAGGGAGGTACTAAAGATGGAGAAATAAGGATTTTTAAAAAGTGAAGAATTATGAACATGAATCTCTTGCAATCTCTCCTCTTGGAATTCCAAGCAGTCTGTGTTTGTCAAAGAACATCAGCATGTACAATCAGCTGGGAGTAGATGAAGTTTGAACTTTCGTAAGGTCACAGGTATTCACATCACCTCCAGCAATATCAAAGTTTCAAACTTTAGAAGAACTTTAAATCATTCCCATCTTTTCTTTTCAGTTCAG